ATTATTAATTTATCCCGTGGGTCTCAAGTTGGAACTAGCTAAAAATATTATTTAATCAAGGTTATTAATTTATAGAAGTTTTATTCTATTAGGCTATTTTCCTTTATAAAACTCAAGGTATTTTCTTTGAAATAGGCCTAACAATTGCTCTATTTATTATATAGCTAGAAGTATTTATGGCTTCCGCTCAAAAATATTTTGGCGAGTTGTTTTGTCGAAGCATTGTTGTTGCCATTTCCTATAAAGTCCTATTTTTTTCTCTTAATTACTCTATTTTGTGAACGAGTTCTAGGGATCAAAAAGTTGTGACTAAAACTATCTTGAACAAAAAGTTCCTCAAAGCCAAGATTTTCAAATTTTTTTCCATGACCACTTCCTATACTTGAAATTGAGTAACCCTTTTCATTTTAAACCTTTGGCACAAACATCACATACTTTGCCATTTTCAAAATTCAACTTTAGCAAGCCAACAACCAGATCATTTTGAAAGAATTTTGAAATAGTGTGCATGCTAGTATTTCCAAGTTTTCTATGTCAAAATCATCTATCTTTATCTTTTTTAGCCATGAAACGTATGTTTTCAGAAGATAAGTCATCAAAGTGCACAACATATATAGTTCCTTGATGGCAACCAATAAAGATTATTTTTGAAAAGTTGATGTCTATTATTTGACAGCCCATGGCTTGAAAAATAACTCTAAAACCCTTGTCACATAATTGACTAATACTTTTTAAGTTATTTTTAAGTCCTCTAACAAAGAAAACATTTTTTACATGAGTTGAAAAATCGTTACTTATAGTTCCAATCTCCTCAATTGGACTTTTTGAGTTATCTCCAAAAGTGACATCTCCTCCTTTTTTTGATTGTAAGTCCATTAAATGATCTTTATTGTTAGTCATATGTCTTGAGAATCTACTATCAAGATCTCATGGCTCTTTTCCTTGTTTATTTACCTTGACGCTATGCTTTTCCACCTTAGTTGCAAGAGCCATGGAACATAAGTTGGCCATTACTTCCCCAAGATCATTGTCGAATGTATCACTACAACTCCATGTGGCCACCATAGCCTTTTTCTTAGGTTTTTTTATGTTGTATTTCCTCCATATATTGGACATTCAACTTGGTGTGCCCAAGCTCCTTGCATTCGTAATCAATAACATGATTTTTGCTTGGTTCTTGTCGTGTTGTCTCCATTTGTTGTGACCTTTTTCCTTTTTCGTGCCTCTTACTCCTCATGAACATGTTAAACTTTTTGTCAAATGTAGCCTTTTTCTTCATCTTCATCACTTCCTTCTTCAATCATCTTTTCTTTTTCTTGAATGATAGACTTCAATGCAAGGTTCTTACTTTTCGAAAACTTCTTTTCACTTCCATGCTTTTACTTCATGATCTCATAAGTTAGAGGAGAACTAGTAACTCTTCTATAGAAAGAGTATTGAGGTTCTTTGCTTTTCAATGGCAATCACTTTTTGTTCCCAAGATTTTGGCAAGTTATGTCGAATCTTCTTTACCATTCTACAATTAGGTATACCTTGCCAAGTGCCTTCAAGTTATTGAAAAAGTTGGTGAATCTATAAGACATTTCTTTGATGGATTCATCATCTTTCATTTGGAAAAGCTCATAATCAAGACTAAACATCCCAATATTGGATTTCGTTACTTGATTTGTTCCTTCATGTGTTATCTCTAATTTATCTCATACTTATTTGGCAATTTTGCACATAGATATTCTATTGTACTCAACAACACCAAGTGCACAAAAGAGAGTGTGCATTGTCTTGGCATTAAGTTGAGTCATCTTGATGTTGCTTGCATCCCACTCATTTTCCTTCATTTTTACTCATCTCTTTTTTTTTTCTTATCTTCATCGGTTTGTAAGGACCAAACAAATAGCTTCATTCTATTCTTCCAATAAGAATAGTTTTCTCCAAGAAACAAGTTAAAAGCAAGCATTTTTCTCATTCTTCCAAGTCTTTCAAAGCCATCAAGTGTAATTTTAAATCCATTTGAGTTCTCATTCTTATTCTTTGTAATCATCTTTGATATTGTCTATTTGCAAACTTGTATTCACAAAGAAATATTCACCTATTAGAGGTTTTCTTATTTATATATCAAACACTCAAATCCTTGAGAGATAAAGAGGTTATACATTAACCTTTAACCTACACCTTAAAAAATAGAAAGGCTATATCTTAACTTCAAAAGGTATTTGTATTGATTGAAATTCAATAGTGAATTCAACTCTTTATTAGCAAGATAAGGGAAAGGACGTAGGCACCAAGACGAGAGTCAAACCTCAATAAATCGATTTTACAATTCTCTCCACACTTCACTGTTTATCTTTATTGCATTTACTTTTAATTAAATATTTTTTGAATTTATAATCATCTTAATATTAGGTTTATTTCTTTTGAAAGTTTATTTTTTGAAAAAGATTTTTAGAAATTCAATTCACTCCCTTATTAGATTATTCATTCTAATTAAACTAACAATTAGTATTAGAGTTTAGACTTTATTTTTGTAAATTTAACTACCTTAGAGTGATCCTACAAGCTCAAGAAATCATGTTCCAAAAGGATATCAAAGAAGAACATGAAGCATGCCTCATGGTCATGGATTTAGTGGGGACCACTCTCGGAGAATAATAATCAATTATAAAGCTAAATTAAATTTATTTATTTAAAATGATAATGTTCTATTTTATTAAATTATTATATTAGTGCATATTTATTGGTATTTATTATATATTCACTATTATTATTTTCATTTTAATAAAAATTTATTAAAGAAAGTATACTAATGAGTGATATTATAGTAATAATCTACTAAAACTAATAAAAAAAAACTGCATTTAACTTATTTGCTCTCTTTGCCAAACCCTTTTCTCGTGGGTTCCATATGAAAATCATAATCTTTATATATTATTTTTAATTATCTAAGATAAATTTCACAAAAATCTCTTGTGATAAGGTCTTTTCTAACATAGTATCTGAAGGTTTTTTTTTTTTTTATATAAAATCTTATGGTTTACTTATTTTTTCAAAAATAGTAATAGTTTTATATTGTCAGTTAATTTTTTATACAAAGACAACAACAACCATTGTTTTATAAAAAAAAAAAAAAAAAACCCCTTGTGTTTTAATCTTTTTATTTTTTTTATTTTTTAAATTAAAAAAACTTAACGTTTGTTGGGTTCGTTTCTTTTTCCAACTTTTCTCCCCTTTTTTCTCCTCACTTTCTCATTGTCCAAATAAAAAACATAAAGAAAAATTCTAGTCAGATTTTATTAAAAAAATAATAAAAAAAAGCACTGAACTTGGGTTACAATGGTAGGGGCAGGTCTAAAGCTGATTTTTTTATTAACATATTTAAAGAAAAAAAATTCTAACCAGATATCATCCTATTCCAAAATCTTGGCGTCAGATGCAGAACCTTTTAAATCTTGAAGAGGCGTGAAACCTGTTCAATGAATTTAATTGCGAAGGGAGTATTTCACTTGGGCATTAAAATACACTTCCTTGCTGTAATCTGCTGCTCTGGACAAATGACTCGCTTAGGCATTAAGATACAACTTGTTATAGTGATCTGCTACTCTGGACAATGACTCTGTAGAAACACGAAAAACTAGACTCATTGTGCTACAAGTATGGAAGGAGTTCACATACCCAATACACTTGGAAGTCTTCTCTAAGCCTGTTAGCTTTGGACAAGTAAGATATTTGGTTATTGACGTTTGAATGGTAAGGCCAAATATATACGCAGTTAAAAATTTTGACGAAAGTTATGGCCAACATTCATCTTCTTAGAGAAATTTTTTTTTGATGGATTCTCTGTTTAGGATTAAGCTTTAATTTTTTTTTAATTAAACAAACAAAAAAAGAAAAAGATTAAAATACAAAGGTTGTTATTATTTTCTTATAAAAAAATTAACTAACAATTTAACACTATTATTACTTTTAGAAAAAGAAAAAAGAATAAAGTTTTATATAAAAAGAAAAAGCAACCTCAAGATGTTATATGAGAAAAAAATCATACCACAAGAGGTTTACATGAAATTTACCCAATTATTTATAACATAAATCATACTTTTCGAGATAAAATATGAATTTAATAAAAGGAAAAATAAAAGAATACCTCCTAACCTTTTAAGTTAATCTATCAATTAAGAAAAATCTTTCTATATTTGCAGTCACCCAGTATCCTTGATTGGGCATAGAAATTGTTGAAACTCAGCAGCTACGTAACTTTTATAATTATTGAAAGTCTTTTTTATTTAATGGAGTAAAGAGCCTAATTTTTTATATAAGTAAAATTATATTTTATTAAAAATAATTTATTTTAATAAAGAGTTCAAGGTTAATAAGAAATAGAAAAAATTAATCAGTATTTAATTTATTAAAAAATTATCAATTAAGGAAAAGTTTATTTTAACAATGGTTTCAATGCTAATTAGAAAACAAATAAAATTACTAGTCAATATTTTAATTTAACAAAGAATGATTAATTAATGATAAAACAGCTAATTTAATAAACCATTAAAAATAATTAAGGATAAAACAGTTTACTTAATAAATTGTTAAGAGTATATATATCATTTATTATTTTCTAATGCACTTTTAAAGTACTTTTTTTTTTTTTATAGTAAACATAAAGATGAAAGACAAAGATAAACTGAGATGATGCTTTTAGCGAGAATTCAGAATTTGCTGGTATTTAAGTTGTGTGGTGAAGACAGACGCACTCTGCAGCCGTGAGGCCTCTGCATGTCGAATTAGCTGCTGAATCATTTGCTCTGAGTTATTTTTGGATCACATTCAGCGCAATTAATAGCTTTAATGAATGACTAAAATTGCACAGCCCTTGGGATGTATAACTCCCCTTTTCACATATTCTTTTGTATCCGGTGGATACCTGAAACCGGATTTCTTTCCCCTCCTAGTGAGGAAAATAAACGAACAAAACACGCTTATCTATCGCAGGAATATATTTAAAGGTTAGATGATGAATAACGAACAGGACTTTGAAGTAAAAGTTTTCAACTATTTGCAATGCCAGAGAAGATAAACTGTCTGTAATCCCCACCTCATGTATAGCCTAACATCTCTCTTTTACACGCTACAACAGACTATGTACAAAACCTCCAAGAACAATCTAGAAGAACCTGTACGTATGAAACAACGTCCAAGTTGTACATAAAGGAAGATCCTCTGGACCTATGTCCAAGTTGTAACATAACGGGCGATTCTCTAGATCTGGACTCCTATCCTTCGAGCAACCTGCATCAGCAGAACTGGTGGGTCATGTAAACTTTCAAGGTACTCAGACCAAATCAAATTCTGAAAAGGGTGAAGGGGGGGAAAGGATAGTTAAAATTCAATAACTAAATTCTGGATTGAAAAAAAAAAACCAAGGTGAACGGGTTAACATAGAATGACAAAGGCAATTAAAGCAGAAATCAAGGAAAGATGCAAACATAAATTTTTTCTTAGAAGGATATATGGACATCATTCAATAATCCTTTTCCTTTTCTTTTAGTGAAACATCACTAAGTAATCTAAATACAGTGAAAGCATTTCAATCAACTTTCATCTCCCACACATAGTTTCTTCCTTAGCCCTTACCCTCTACTTTGACCTTTTTCAAATTAAAAATATTTAGAGCATACCTCTTTAAATGAGAAAACATCACTTCCCCAGAGCCAAGCATCACAGCCTGCATCTCTGGCACCCCATATATCATTCCTACGGTCATCACCTACATGTACAGCATCCTCAGGCTTTATGCCCAACAGGTCACAGGCTTTTAGAAATATTGTTGGATTTGGTTTCTCTGCTTCAACCTGGGGGAGATGAGAGGAAGTTAGATAAAGAGAGAAGAAAGTTGCTACCAAGAAAATTGGCAACTTTTGCCCATTAATATTAGCATCACAATTGCAAAGAAAATTAGATAAACATAAAACATCCTTACATCTGGAATGATTCTAATGTTAAAATCTTCTAATGTCACAACTCACATTTTACTTTCCTCAGATTACTGTGACAACTCACAGATATATCAAAAGAACTGAATGGAAATTTGACTTTTTTTTATTTGAAATATTGAGTCAATTAAACGAATGGATATATGATAAATAATAATAGATACAAGGTTCCAGATTTCAACAGTCCTGAAAACAAATGAAGATTAAGATATTGAAGAGGAAATGGCATTAGTAAACCAATGTTTCAATGGTACAGGGGCAAATGTTTGACTTTACACACACACACACACACACATAGAGAGAGAGAGAGAGAGAGAGAGAGAGAGAGAGAGAGAGATTACTTCAGCTGACACTGCCACAGCATCGAACCAATGATCACAATTCAGTGCCCTCAAGACAGGTCTTAACCGAGTGTCAAAATTTGATACAACAGCCACTTTTACACCAGCTTTTCTAAGAGCCTTAAATACTTTCTCAGCCTCAGGATCACAGAGATGCCAAGCCTTTAGAAAATCAATGAGTAAATATTCATAGACCTAAATATTGACAAAAAAGAGGAGGTAAATACTAACAAACCTACCTTGTCAGTGGTATAGTAGTTATAAAGTTCTTCAAAGTACTGAGAATCTGAGCAGCCAGTGGAAGAACTGACTATATATTGCCAGAAGGGTCTCCCATCATTCACATATCTGCAATAAAGCAAGAAAAAACAGCTCAAATTAGCAATCAGGAGGAAAGTAAATCCTTCATAGCTGTAAGCTGGTAAACTTTAGAACTAATAAATCCTTCAGGGCTATGACATAAGAAATCAAAAGCATGAATCCCTCTTGGGTAGAAATGACTCTGAACTATTGGAATTACTGGAACATAAATGAAAGCAAGAAGAGAAAATTAAAAACAACATAAAAGTTAACAGCTTGCAGCAAGATGAATGATTAGAAACCAAATTAATTCATTCTCCCAGCTTACAATTGATGGAGAAAGAGGCAGTTTGCCCTTTCAATACACTAGTAACATGATTGTGCCATTCAAGTCATCCTAAAAGGTACCAGATACATCAGCTTCAGGATTTGGGCCAGATGATACAAATGAGAAGTCATAAGAGTAAAATCAACTAAGCAAAAACAAGTATCTAAGAAGCTTTATTGAACAAGTGTTAAAATGGAACACTTAGAATTAAGAAACAATGAATACTAGAAATGCATAAAAGCTCAGATACAATAAAAAAAATAACTCAAAGCCACTGGCATACATCTGATCAAATTAATAATTTCCAAACAAAAAGGGTTATTTCAGAATTGAATGTTGGCTGCTATGTTACTCAAACTCGGGGGGTCAGTGTTGGAGATACGAATATGTTTAATTTTTTGTAAGTTTTCCCTTATGTTTGGAGGGTTGGATCTCCATTCCCATGTCCGTCAAATATCTGTCAGATATAAGTTCCGCAAGGAAAATGAAGATTTGGAGCAACATAGGTTTACTGCATTTAAGAGCTCAAATAACTTTTGCCATAATGTTAGTGATATGAGGATACTCAAGTATTACAGTTAAGATTTTATTGAATGTTTATGCACCATGGCTTAGCAGAGTCGTCTATCAATGGCACTCACAAGCATAAAATGCTTGATTACATACCACCAATTTTATTATAATATAAAAGTTTCCTTCATTAGCAAAATGTTATACCCAGATTTGATTTTCCATTAGCAGTTTATAACCAATTCATGCCAAGATCCTATGACTGTGGTCAATTGATTAAATGTTGAATAAGGAAATATAGGAAGAGAATTTATAGAATCTGATATCACTTATGACTTTATGAGGCAAAAACTACATTTTACAGCTGTCAATTATTTATCAATGTCATGCAAAAACACACCTAAAAAGGTGTTGATCCCATGCTACCATTACCTTCATTAGAATACAAAGTTTTGTTCATTACAAAATTGTTCCACTCAAATTTCATTTTCAATTTTCGATTTATGACCAAGTGAGGTGTAATATCCCATGACCAGATGCATTGATACATACTAGATAAAGAAACACCTAGGAAGAATTTACAAAATTTTGATATCGAATATGATGCAACATGGAAAGCACCACGTTTTAAAGCTGTGAATCATTTGTAGATGTCTCAAGGACTACAGCCTTCACCTTTTCACAATAGAAATATTTCCTTCTTTACTGAATTGTTCCACCCAGATAACATCTTCCGTTTACAGTACCGAGTCATGTGAAAGATCCCATGATGAAACTCATTAATTACATATAGTTAGGGGTATGAGTAAGATGAGTACAAAATCCAGGATCACAAATGATGTGAAAAGTATGAACTTTATTTAAGAAGTTAACTCATTAAATTGATTTTAGATTACTGATTCCAGATTTAGCTTACATGCCTTTGGCTGCAAGTACAGTAGAAAAGCGAACCACAAACTCTTTATTTTCGATTGCCCCCAATAAACTCAGATACCAGAGCAGTGACAAGAAAGTGAGATAACGGCATGACAAAGGAAATCACACAAATGAACTGTATTTTTTCCTTTTAAGAAGAGAGCCAACCAATAAAGAAAGTGGAGAAAAAGAGAACGGAATTAATAATGCAAGAACTAAAAGAAAGGAAGAAACCTGAGACGAGATCTACCCCAAGGCTGAGCATAAGCCCTTCTGTATCTGTTCAATATCTCAATTTCTGAGTACTCCACCCCATATTTCTCCCCTATCTCTCTATATATCTACAACAAAAACAAATGAAACCAGCTCAATAAAATTTACAAAATCAAATTTCTACAGATACCAGAGGCAAAGCGTTAAAAGAAACTCTCCATAAAACAAAAGTTGCAAGCCCAAAAGAAACATAAAACATGCTTGTATGCATAAATATGCTCTCCGCAATGTAAGATAAGAAACAAGTAAAAGGAAGACCTGCGCCATGGGCTGAGAGGGAGCAAGGAGAGTGCCAACAGCGTCGACAAGAAGAGCCTTGTGAGTGATCTCTCCATAAAGAGACCGCCTGTAATCCTCATAGTCTTTCACTCCCAGTACTTCAAATCCCATAGCCTCTCTTTGAGGCGCCATAGCAGCAGCAGATGAAGCTGAAGAGAAGCTGCAGTAAAATGGGTCTGGCCGAATCCAGCCATTTAAGGCGCTGCACCCCGGCCTTAGAGTCCGGGTTAAGAGCCTATAGAGCTTGGTTCGTGTTGTTGCCATTAGTGCCATTTTTTGAGTTTCATTTAATTCTCCTGTAATTTGTTCTTAATTCACTTCTCGAGCTCCGCGGTGAGAGAGAGAAGAAGCTTAATGAGGCAAAGAAATTGCTTACCATTATCTGCACCTGCGCTTCTTTCATATTACCATTTTACCCTTCCTCAAAAGTACGCCATGAATGGAGATTTTTGTTTGAAATTTATTTATTTAATTTCTTTAGACTCCATTTAGTTTATGTTTTTATTATTTACTTTTTAATATTTTTTATTATTATGTATTATTTTATTAAATAAATAAATAACAAAATACCAATCGTACGGAATATTATGAAAATTGTTGATTAGCATTGAAGATTTAAATTGAAAACTCTTAAAGATGGAATTTAAAGTCAATAAATTTAATATTTGAATTTATTTTGAATATCTAAAACATCACATAAAAAAACTTACTTATATGTTTTGAAAGATGTTTTAATTAATTCTTGAGCCCTATATTTGAAGGAAATTTTTTATTTTATGATTTATGTGACTCATTAATTTTGTATTCTATTAAACTTCATTAAGAAACATTGGTTACTTTCAAGAAAGGCGCGTTTTTAAAAATTGTTGGATAAAAATATTTTAATTTTAATTATTTTTAATCAGAAGAAAAGATTTTTAGATAAAATTATGTTTAATAGAATTTCATCATATTCAAATGCACGAGAAAAAAAATTATTATATACCATGTTGAAAAAAAAAATATTACACGTCATATTAAAAAAGTGTTGTTGTTACATGTCATTTTGAAAAAAAAAATATTATATGTTATGTTGAAAAAAAAATTATTTCACTCCATGTTGAAAAAATTTTGTTGGTATATGTAATGTTCAAAAAAATTTTACTACACATTATGTTAAAAAAAAATTATTACTCGTCATGTTAAAAAAAATATTGTTGTTATACGCTATGTTAAAAAAAATTTTATTACACGTCATTTTAAAAAAATATATTGTTACATGCCATACCATTTTCAATAAATTTGCTACACATCAGGTGCATTAGAGGTGTTACATACAAGCATACCGTGTAACAACTCTAGACAGTATTCTAATTTACAAATTTAACTTATAACTTCAATCCATCAAATTTGAAATTCTGTTATATAAACTAATAAACTCAAGAATATACATTGATGTTATCTCTACTATTTGGTCTGTATATCGACAACGATATAGCGAGATTGCAAGAAATAGATAGAGAAATGACGATAATGATAAAATTAGAGAGATGGATGGTGAGAGAGACAAACAATATTTAATTTGTCTGGATGGTGAAAGAGAAATTGAGAATATTTAATTTGTCTAAAATAGTTTAAAGAGTAGTTTTTGTCAAGTTATGATAAAAGTTAGTATAAATAAAAGTTAGTATAAACAATTAACTTTATATTGAATGTTACTTTTGAAATGAGCTTATGAAGTTGACTATTTCTCACAAGTCTCTCTTCAACAAATAATTGTATTTTGTGTAAATTTTAATAATATATTGTTTTTATACTACACCTACTATTATTTTAAAATTGTCAAAATAGAAAAGAGAATTTGTAACTTTAATCTTGAAACTTAACCATGTACGGAAAATAACATATATCCATAAAACTTTTTTTTGCGTTGCTTTAAAAGTAAACGAAAAAGATATTAATTTCATAAACCTTATAAGAGTAAGATTTGTTTGTGCAAATGTGGTTTAGATAAAATTTAACAAATCGGTAAAATTGACTTCAAAGTGAGCCCTTCAATAGATGCTATCTTTAAAAATTATTTTGTCTCTACCACTCGATATACAAAGAGGAATAATGCAATTAGTTTTAGGGATAGTCCACGTCTAACTTCTTCTTGCATTTTACGATAGTATATCGCTAGATACACCCGAGGGTTTGTAAAGTTGTTTGACCTTAAAGTTTACTTTTTATAGTAAGTAAATTATAAAAAATTTAGACACTTTTGTAGTTGATGGAAACTTAAGTGTTTATGTTAATACAGCTCCTTGGAAACTCAGAACCACGATGATGTTTTTGGAAGTTTTCAAAATCCAACTTAAAGGGTGCAAGTTCTTGTAATTTTCGAGAGCTATGAATGGGGTCACTGATTCTCTTACTAAGGCAGGTGTTGAGAGAAAGGATGAGTTCCTATGGGTACTGGCTCAATATGGTGATGATAACATGATCTCCCCTGAGGTTAGTTAGGTGAATTTTGTTATGTCTTCAACCTTGTTCTGCTCGTAAGAGCTGGGTTGTTGCCAAGGGGTTGCATTTTTGTTTTTTGCTTTTGAGGATGTGTTTCTTGGGGTTTGATCTCGTCTGCTGCTACCATAGCTTCTGGGGAGACATCATGCTCGTTTTAGTTTTTCTTTCTTTTGTGTGAAGGATATGAAGTTTGACTGTACAAGGGTGTTTTGATGTTTTTGTGTTTCTGCTCCTCTGGATGGGGAAGGTGGAGGTTTTTTCCTCCTCTACTAGTTTTGGGATGCTGTACATGTTTTATTTTTGGGGTCTTGAGGGGTTGCTTTTGTAGGTTTTTGTATTATCCTAGGATTTTTGCTTAGAGTAGAATGCTTCTCTGCTCCTCTCTTGAATTGTGAATGAATATTCTAACTTTTCAAAAAAAAAGTGTTTTTGTTAATAAAATACAATACTTTTCTTGCTTTTGATTTTTCTGCTTTTATTTTATTTTTAATTTAATGTCTTAAAATGGTTAGCAACAAACTCTTTATATAAGCTTACAAGTGTCTCTTCTTTAAAGATATAACTCTTTCATTAAGGTACCATTTTGTAAGAGACATCTTTACATTTTGCAAGATACAATATTTGGATAAAAGTATTGTTTCAATAATCATCTTATGAAAGAACAACTATTTATTCTATAAAACATAATTTTTGAATTATAATTTGAATTAATAACTTTTCATATTTAAACCTTTGAGCTATGGTATTTTTTTCAATTTGTCTTATAAGCTTTAGATGTCATTTTACTAAGAAATATAACTATTTACATGAAAACCTATCTATAATTCAATAATCATACTATGTCACTTTATGTGATATAATCTTTAAATTAAGATAACTTTTCATTATGTGATATAATTCTTTTATTTTGAAAATACACCAACAAAAATCAAAATCATGAAAAAATTATCAAATCGATACTATATCTGGTAACAAATGTGTCTAAATTTCACTCCAATTTAATTGAAAAAAAAAACTATGAACTAAGGAAAGAAGATACACATACAACCCACGTATCTCTATGTGATTCACAAATCATTTAAGTTACTTTTTATTAGTTTAACATTGTTAATGGTACATAATTTTCGTGAGCAATCTAATGATGTAGTCAATTTCAGTTGAATATATATGCATGTATACCGTGATGAATCCTTTTGAAATAATATCTAATATTCTGTTAAACCATCCCTTAGCAAAATGAGGACATAATTTTATATACTGAATTTTATATTTTATTTTAAATAAGATTCTTTATAATTTATATTTATATTTTTTAAATTTTTACAAAATAAATAAAAATAAATCTTCAATCCAATAAGTGATTATAGAGCAGGCTCGAGCAAGCAAAAAGAGAGGGCATTTCGGGTAATTGCATTTCGGGTAATTGCATTTCCCCTATCATGCAAAAATGACGATGTGGCAAGACAATGGAATATGGTTAAGATCCACGTCATCGAATTCTGAAACCCGAAGCATCATCCATGTAGCAAAGTGGGGC